CAGACCCCTGTGTAGAGCACTAGCAACTTGCTGTGTCATGTCGTTCTCTTACACATATGATATGTACCTATTTATCCTGAGATCTCTTTTGCTACTTGTGCAATCACCTCTCACGAGGTTGAAGCTGAGCCAAAATCTGTCCACTAACCTGGCCAATCTCTCGGGTGAAATGTCTGGGGTGACATGTGCATTCCGAGATTCCATCATTTGTTCTCGGTGGTGCTCTGAAGTTAAAAGAAGACCTTCCGCCTACCTCGAAAGGATGCTTTTCTTGAGCTTGTTTTTGTCCCAAGGTCAAAAAAATGGGTTCAAAAAGAGCTGCTGCTTCTGCTTCACCTTGCTTGGGGTTGGCTCCTCAATGCGGACTGGAACTTATCTACTTCAATAGTTCGCTAACCACTCGGAGCAGTTTTGCAGTTAAGGATATCACCTAGTTGGTTGTTTGGCTCCTCGATCCGGACTGGAATAGATGGCTATTCTGTAGGACTTTCAGTAGCTTTTGGGGACCAAAGAGCAGGGGTCAAGCCCAATGGGCTCATTGCTAGTGAATGGAGGAAGGCTAGTTTGAGTTTGGTTGGTGGAGATGGATCCGGGGAACTAATGTGCCATTAATCCATCCCTGAACTCCATCTAGTGGTTCCCCTCACCTCAATAAGGACGAAAAGTAGCATAAGCGGATGAAAGAGTGGACCTTTCAATTACATCGAACCTTGTTGGCCGATAACTCGATGGTATCCGCTCATGGATGGTAGTTTACTGATTGGAGTCAGTTTCAGCCTTTCTAGTAGTTGGAGTTTGTGGAACAAGTTGTAGAGATCCCATCGTTTCTAGTACTTGTGGAGAATCCACACCAGTAAGAAATAGCTTTAGTTGTTGTTGGAAGTGACCTAGACATATTTCTATTAAGAGGTCCTTGCACTTTTCTTCCGCTAGGTAAGTTGGGAAGTCCTTAACTTAATAAGGCAAGGGAAGTCGAGTCCCTTATCTTCGACAAGCCTCGATCTGCGCTTTCGCTTTAAAGAAAGAATCGCTGAAGACATATTCTTTTTTTCGGTTGAGTAAGGGCTACTTCACTCCTCTCCCTCTGGTCGAGCTGCTCCGCTCCTCTTCTTTAGCTTCTTCTGTAATACCTATAGTGAATAGCTCTAGCGGATGCTTTTTGAGATACTAATTATATTGGGTGGGTTCATCTGCAACCAACCTCAAGCGGAAGTAGTTCAGAGCGTCTCTTTCTGTGCTGTTATGATTCCATGATCTTCTCTGAGGTAGACATGCTTATCTACTCCAAAAGTTCGCCTTCAGCTCACCTTGGATACTCCTCCAACCCTTGGTCAAACGCTTGAAGATAGTCCTATCCACACGAGCTATTGTCCTTTGATGTTGGTCCTATTTATGTGGGGTTTTCCCAGTTTGATCTCCGACTTATTAGAATCCACAATTGAATCCTTAAAAATGCTAATTTGAATCAATTGAGCCCTTACAATTAAAATTTTTTGATAAACTGAAACGTTGACGTGGTCAATTTTTGCCACATCACTCCTGCCACGTTAGTTCATCTTCTCCAAACAGCAAACCCTAAGCGCACACCATCCTTCGTAATTCCTTTGGCATAGAGAATCCCCCAACTCCTTCCTGTTCCTTCATCTCGTACACAAAAACCTCGTGCACACCGTCCTTTAGCAACGACGTTCCCATATCGGACTTGAGGTGTTTCACTAGGCCCTTCAGGTAAATCCCGGTATAGATGAAGTTTGCGTCGAACTCGTTCTCGACGGCGCTAAAGCTAGGCCAGCTGGTTTCGGTCACGACGAGGGGATGGTCTTGTAGCCGGCGACAGCGAGGGCGATGACAACGTCGACCATGATGTCGAAGAGGTTGCGGTAGTGGACGCCAGTGGTGAAGTCGTTGCAGAAGTTGAAAGGGTATTCTTGGAAGAGCGCGATGCCGAGGGGGATCTCGGGGTTCAAAAGGTAGAGGTTGTAAGGATAGAGGTTGATCAAGAAGCAGGAATATGTATCCTGCAAGAATTGGAGGAGCGGACCGAAGAGTGTGATCCTCGGGGGTTCTTGAAACTGTGCCTTTGAGGTCGGGAACGGGGATGACAGGGCGGTGTAGAGCTCTACTGCGATGGTGGTGATTTTGATAGGGCCAGAAGAAATGAACATCTTATTTTCTTGGATGTGGGGACACTATTCAATTTCATAGAAATGTTCAGTTGCCACTATCTTGTTCATTTTGTTTAACATTTAAATATTTTATTGTTTAGGATGCAGTGAAGAGTTGTTGAATAATAAAGAGAATGTACATTTTGTGTTTAAGGAACCTATGAGTACGTGCTCAGAACTTCTGAACAAAAATACCTTTATCACATAAAATAGAGGGGCTATCGAACTTCATCCTGGAGAAATGCTCACTTCCTCAAAATAAAGTTACAACTTTTCCCAATTAATGAAATAACTCGCATAGGACTTGAAAAGGTCACTGGGTGGGTGATTTGTGTAGCATTTTGGCCGATTGAGGGATCTCGCCTTTAGTTGCCGGAGGCCACCGGAGATGTGCCCCACCTCCTGGGAGTGGTGGTTGGAGGAGTCGCTGGGAGCGGAGTAGGTGACGCCGATGCAGGGATGGGGAAGGGAGTGAGGGAGGAGGCAAAGAAATCAGAGAGCCACGTGTTCAAAAATTGACACATCACCTTCCACCTGTGCAAAAATTTAACTCCGTTAAGTAAATTTAACGGTAAGGGCTCAATTGATTCAAATTAGCATTTTTAAGGATTCAATTGGGAATTCTAATAAGTCAGAGATCAAACTGGGAAAAATCCACATAAATAGGACAATTAAATGGTTTAAACCTAAAATATATTACACATACTAATTGACGCGGAAGGTTTTATTAATAAATTAATTTATAACAATATTGATTTTAATGTTTATTAAATTATAGATAATATGTTAACTTATCTTCTCGTGAAAAATAAAATAAGTTGTTTATTTATCTTACTTTAATATTTTAAAAATTATAAATTCATCTATTTATACATACTTATATTTTGGTTTGTAAAATTTATTTTATTCCAAAATTTTATCCTAAAATTTTATCGTCACATTCCAATAAAACAAAACAATTGATTTGAGGAAAGATCTATATTATAATTATCCAAAATAAAATATATATATATATATATATATATATATATATATATATTATACTATAAGAAGATATTAAACTAAATTAAAAGTGTAATATAGAACTTACAAAACAAGGAGGAAACGGCAAAATGTCCTATTTTAAGTTTCATTTTTGTAATCAGAGAGGCATTTCTAAGCTCAGGCGGTTAAGATGATCATTGCATAAGAGAAAACAAAACACACAAATAAACAAAGACAAAATAGTAAGCTAAAGTAGCAAAAGAACATAGAACATTCATACATTTTAAAACAATAATATCACATTCATAATATAAATCAACCAATACAAAAATAATCATATCAACTTTAAACTTCGATCATTCGGATGCATGTATTGATGTCACATGGGAGACCTACCTCGTGTGTGGTGAAACAACTTACTTAAATCATACTACCACTTCATCAAACTATCACACACCAAGGTTATCTGTCAAACACTTGTACTCTTTTTCACAACAAAATCATCATTCTCTACTTGAGATTAAAAGTTATTAAGAGTGGTAGAATTATCCTTCAATCCCAAGGTTCCTACTTCAATACATTACACTTAAAGACAAAACCAGAATATTCTCCATGAAATTCCTTTTCACATCATACTTAATTACCACTTTCCATTTCATTTGAGTATCATTATACATGTAACCCATCACGTACTAAATTCATACACACATCAATGTTTACCATCCATAAAACATTCATTAATTCCACACAAGTAATTATGCATACATAATTACAATAAATTAGTAACCTAATTACGTAAAAATAATTAGTTGAATCATAGAAGAATAATTTCTAATTGGCTTAATATTCATTCTATCAATAATATAAGACTATTTTTAACCAATGACGTTTTAAAATATATATTAATAATAAAGAATGACAAAGTACAAGAGAAAAAAAAGTATATATTAAAAGAGGGATGACAAAAAATATTGAAAAAGTATTTTAATTTATAAATATAGGAGTAGAGAGAACAAAATTCATGTTACGTATTTTCAGAATAAATAATTTAATACAACTCGAAACAAACTCACTCAAACTTAATCATAGGTTTGAGATACTTTAAAATTAGAATAAATTGAATTTAAATTGTTTTTAATTTATATTTTTAATATTTTACTTAAATAAAACAACTTAAATTTATTAAATTTGAATTTTTTTTATTTAAATAAATATTCCAGTTACTACTGAATACAAGTTCATTTTAGTATTAAATATTTAATTTATTAGTCACTATTTTTTAGTTAAGATTATTTTTCAATTAATTATTTTATTTAACTTAAAACTAATTTATTTTTCTATTCATATCAATCTCAATTATTTGAATTGACTCCTATCAAAATTATTCTTTAAATTTTGTTAAATTGTTTTTTAGTCAATCTATGTCTTGCTTAATATTAATAAAAATAATCTTAATTAAAATTGATTAACAATTCTCCCAAATAGACACTAGAAAAACAATAATCAATGTTAATCTAAAAATTATTAATTATTAAACCTAGTTAAGATACATTCTAACATTATCTTTAAAAGTGAACTTTAACTCTAACATAATTCTACACAACCAACTTAAAAAGATAAAATTTACACTTATTTATTTATTATAATTTTTTTTAAACCAAATTATCATTACCATCTAAAACTATATTCATATCCAAATCCACTATAAAGTATAATTTGATACCATCAGTTTTCTATTTACAGCAAGTCTCTCACAAGCTACTTATGCATAGGCATATATATTTGTTTGTCACTTCACCATGTTTTAGGACCTTACAAGTAGAAAAAAAAAAAAAAGGAAAACATAACATGTGAAAGTCAAATAATGGTTACTGTATATTACTGGAAGTGATACGTAACAGTCTTACACTGGCTTGATTGTATGATTGCATGAAGCAGAGGAGATTTAATGGCTTCAATGAATCAGTAAGATCCACAATATCAAGGTTAGCCTGTGTCCCTAAGCTCAGAAAATAGTTGAAAGTTTCAATGTTCCTGATAACATATGCAATATAAGCCACCGGTGCTTCCTTTGACATGCTACTACTACCATCATTATATACTGCTTTGCATCTACCATCACATATTTCAATATCATTTTCATGATTTGGTTCACCATTTCCAAGTTTAATGTTTGGAGAGAGGTTCTTGCAACTTGAATGCTGTCTGCAGACACTGGAATTCATCTGATTTAAAAGAATGGCAAGTACTCGAACAAGATGTGGTAAACAAGCTGGATCATATATCACATCTGCACCCAAACTGAAATAGTAATATATTAAGGAATGGCATTTGAATTCTGAACAAATTTAAAGAAACAGTATGAGAAATTAAGTTAAGTAATTGAGTAGAAACTTCAGTTGAACTCTTACACGACATCTGGCATAATTTCTTGGAGTTGACTTTCTGATGCAGATTCCCAGGGCAGATACAAGCATTTTACCTGAGTGAGGTGCATGGATCAGCTCATAATACAGAACCTTGGCAACACATACAATACAGTTTATATTCTCTTCTATCTTACACTTGCAAAAATTCATTACTTGAGAAAAAGGTTTTCAAAAGAATGCAGATCTAGACAATTTTGGTTTTAGCTTTTATTACAATTTATCAACACAGAATAGACTGCAAAAAAAGGACAAAATAAAACTTCAAAAAAAAAATATAGATTAATCGTCTATGGACAAACGTATTAGAACCATGCACTAAAAATGTATGAAACTCAAGATAAGCACATCAACACTCTGCAAGTAGAAAGTCAATATATACAAATACTGAAAATTGATATGTATATTTGAGTTTAGCAAATAGCTCAGTATCATATGCAAAACCTGAGAGAAGATGTTGTGAGGATAAAATTTTATATACATAAAAGAAAAGTACAATGCAGAGCCTATGCAAATTCAGACTCACCATATTTGGATCTTTGTTTCCTTCTGTCATATTAGCCTCAACGTTGAGGTTGTTCAACTCCAAATTAAACTTCATGTTAGCTAAAGTTGATAGGTCACCGTCACTTAATATCACCTGTTGAGAGATAATAACAAGCTTCCAATTGACTAAATTCAACTACAAATATCACCTAATATTACTCATACAATAACTAAACAAATAGCACCATTTTGTCGTTTAAATTTCAGTGTTCTAGCTAAAACATCATACTTCGATAACAAAAATGTCATCATTGAAAATGTTCATGCATGAATCACCAAGTATAATTGGCCATACCTGGGAAGCTTTCACATGAGCTAGACATAATCCAACTAAGCCAACTCCTGAACCAATCTATTCCAAATTTTTAAAAGATGCACCATGGTAAGAACAGATGAAAGCTAATCTTAATGTGACAAATGAAATGGCAAAAAAGTTAGAAACTAAAACACTTAGAGCCTCTCCGATAAGTGAAGCTAATCACATAATTGTCTCATCATCATCACATGACTGGATAAACATTATTATTGTAACAAACTCAAACATAGAACTGACCTCAAAGCATGATTTATTAGAAAATAATTCTGGATGAGAAAGTATTAACTCGGACAAAAACAGACTTGATGGCCATATTGAGCACCTACACAACCGAACCAATATCAATTTCTAAGAATTAATGATGATTCCAAAAACATACACTTGACATATGAATATTGATAGAAGAATTATGATAAATACTAAATTTTGGATAAAAGAAATGATATTGCTGAACTCAACAAAAGTTGAATTCTCAAGCAGCAAGAGCACTGGTTATCATTTAGAAGAACTTCTGCATTGACAAACATCACATAACGGCCTTTAAATGTTACATTCTATATGCATAGTCTTTAATGATATGAAATATAAGCATACCCAGTATCACCTTCAAGCATGTTTAGAGAACACTGCAACGAAAAAACCACTGCCCTCGAGTGTGGACAACTTAGTAGTTCAGAACAACCTAGTCATTCCAATTCACCAGCCCAAGGAAATCTGAATGAAACAAAATCATAAGAATAAATGAAGAAACATAACCACAATCAAGATTTACCCTCGGGAAAAAGAAATGAAATTCTTTTGCAGATTCTTGCATCTCTCTTCGCCAAACTATCATCCTAGCAAAAAAGAAAGAAAATCAAGAAAAATAAAACTACACAACCAGAACAAAAAAAAGCTTGCAGAAAGTAATTGATGGAATAAAACCTTAAACGATGTCATGTAGTGAGCATAAAGTTCGTACAAATTGTCCAACACGTAGCCACGGTCTGACTCAACTTGACTAATAAGTTTCTTGAGAAAATTCTTCAGGTAGGGAGCATGAAAATCACCCTGCATTTATCATTCTATTAGATCAATGAAGCCCAGAGACAGAAAATTAGTTTGGTGTAGTTAAATTCTTTTTCACTTGTTTTTTTTTTCTTTTACAAGTGTTTAAAGAAAAGTTCATCTGCCCAAATAGAAAAATAAATACTACAGGAGCGGAAAGGCAATGGTCCCAGATGAATTGTTGAACTTGTCCCGTGATTGAGCCTCCGCCACAAGCCCTGCAAATCTATTTGTGTCACTGCTTTTTGAAGTCTCACTGAAATACAAAGAAAAAGGAGTAAGGAAAAGAGAAACCTGGCATGGGAGATTACACAGTGAGAAGGTTCCATAGCTAGGATTGAAGAAAGTAAATGGCGAGAAGAAGGCAGGGAAGGATCTAAGTCTTGCTCCATCGCCACTTCCACTGTTCTGTTCTGCCTCAGACAACCTCCTATTCTATTCAAAACATGTGCTTTTATATGTCCAAAACAAACTCCTAATATTTATCTTATTCTATGTTTATGTTTTTTTAGCTTCAATTTTAATAAAATCAAAATTTATTCCTTCAAATTACTAAAAAAAACTGATATTTTTAATAAAAATAAGTCCATTTTCTTTGTTTCATTTAAAAAAGATACTAATCACAATTTAGTAAAAAATACGTTTGATGGAATTAACAAAATATATTTCAGCAATTTAAATAAATTGGATATTATATATATATTTCCAAAAAATACCATATATTCTACTTAAGAAAAATTAAGTAACTTTCAATGAAAACACATTCTAAAAAGTTTATTTCAAATATACAATAAAAGAAAAAGAGAATGGTAAGATATAGAAATAAAAACCCTCAATTGAATTCATTAATTTTGGTAATTTTGGTAATTTGAGTAGATCCATTATTTTTTTTCTTTTTTATAATTCTCTTAATCAATTAGATGAATTGAAGATTGGGAGTTTTTATTTTTACAAGTGTTAATATTTGATTTCAAATTTGTTGAGATAACGTCAACATCAACATATATCATCACTCCTTCCGATAAAACTCCTGTTACGAGTAAAGAGTTAGGAGAGTTTTTGTTTGTTTATACATATAACGTCGATGTTTCAAACTCAAGTCTAGTCAGATAATATAATTAGGTTGATATTTAGGTATTTTATGCTTTGGTACACAGAGTTGTGTCAATATTTTGTTTTTAAAATATTTATTAAAAATATAGAAGTTGTGTCACAATTTTATTTTTAAAATATTTATTAAAAAAATAAATGAATATTTAAACGGAACAATATAAAACTATTAAATGTATTGAAATATTTTAAATTAGTTTCTTTAAAAATATTTGATAGAATTAAACATAAGTATATTTTAGGAATTAAAACTGTGTTTAAGCATAAAATTGTGAACATTTTTAAATTATAACTCAATATTTGCTTCGGAATGAAGGAATATTTTTCACAATTTGAATTAAATCAATCCATTTAATTTTAAGCTAAACCATTAATCTAACTCACCATACTTATTTTATTGGAAAAATGTATTTCTTTTAAGCTATTTATTAATGGACATGTTTCAACCTTTTTTGGAAAAATTTAAATAAATATCAATATTTTTCAACTATGTATTTAAGTTAATATATTTATAAATGAATTTATGAAAATAGCAAGACCTACGATATAAAGTCTTTCAAACTATAATGTAGTAGAAACAATTATTTATTGTTAACTAATAATTAAATACTATATTCAATATATTTTTAGTTGATGAACTTTTTCATTTAATGGAAATTTTTGATATATTTTATTCCCAAACTTTAAAAAAAAATTAATACATTTAATTCCCAAACTTAATATATATATATATATATATATATATATATATATATATATAATTAACTTTTTTTACATATAAAAATTATTTTAGACTAGTATTTAAGTTGTTTATATTATTTAATATATTCACGCTTAAAATTGAATTGATTGTATTTCAAAAATTATATTAATTTATTTTTAAAATTTAATAACTAAAATATATCAAAATTTTGAACCAAGAGGAATTTTAGTTTCATATCAAAATTTAATAACTAAAATCATATTTAATTCTTAAATATTTTATGAAAAGTAATAGGTTATAAATATTTAAAAATTTCCATAAATAATAATTTTTAACTAGTTTCCAAGTTGTGAGAATGATTAAAATTCATATTCAATTGTCAAATTGTAACGAAAACTTGTTAACTATTACTATAGTTTTAAAAGAAAAAAAAAAGAATTGTTATGTTTAACGAGTTAATATTTTTTATCTTTTTCTTAAACCTTATTATTTATTACATGTTATGGTGACTGAAATACAACATAACGTATATATATAAAAACTACTTCTGAAAAAGGATCACCAAAAATGAATTTTGAGATATACAAAAATATGAACACCATTATTAACTATAAGATATACAAACACAAAAGGCTTAAATGTTTATTTCGTCCCCATATTAAAAGGTGAATTTTTGTTTAATACCCATTTTAAAAATAAAGACATTTGATCCCTATGTTATGAAAAATATATGAATAAGGTCTACAAAGAAAGAACAAATTCAACAAATCATTAAAGAAAAAACTGAACAAGAGATAGAAAAAATTAGACAGCAGAAGAGAGAAGAGAAAAAGTACGACCACATCAGCATAGACTTAACGTCATTGCTATCAACTTAACGGACATGACCTTATTCATACACTTTTCATAACATAGGACCCCTTCATTTTTAAAACCGGATACTAAACAGAAATTCACCTCTTAACATGAGGACGAAGTAAGCATTTAAGCCAACACAAAATAACGTACAAATTAATGTGTGAATTATGTTACAGCCTATACTTAAATGTCCAACTCACTCAACTTTTTTATAAGGGCCGCGGGAGGTATGTAATAAGAAAATAAAGTATAATATAAAAATAGAAGAATTATTCTTAGATAATTGAGAAATAAAAGTAGTCAGTGACAATCCAAAAGAAAGAAGAGAAATATTGTTTGAAAGTGTTAATATTGAAGTAGATTAGATCTAGAGCATAACCTAAGCCTGATCTAAAATCATTAGTTATTGCTTCTAAGTAAAAAAAGGGAAAAGATACTAGCCATTTTTATTATTGCCAGTGATACGCAATAGTCTTACACTGGCTTGATTGTATGATTGCATGTAGCAGAGGAGATTTAGTGGCTTCAATGAATCAGTAAGGTCCACAATATCAAGATGAGCCTGTCTTCCCAGGGACATGAAATAGTTGAAAGTTTCAATGTTTCTGATAACATATGAAATATAAGCCACCGGTGTTTCCTTTGGCTGGCTGTAACTATCATCATCATGGCTTGCTTTGAATCTACTGTGAGATATGTCAATAGCATGTTCATGATTATGTTCACAATTTTCATGTTTAATGTTTGGGGAGATGCCCTTACAACTTGCATGCTGTCTGCAAAACTCCGAATTCATCGGATTCAAAAGAATGGCAAGTACTCGAACAAGATGTGGTTGATAAACAGGATCATATATCACATCTGCACCCAGACTGAAATAATAATATAATAAGAATGACAACTGAATTCCGAACAAAATGGAAAGAATATACGAAATTATGTCTCAAAGGTTGTATAGTTAAACTCTCACACAACATCAGCCCTGATATCTTGGAGTTGACTAACTGATGCAGATTCCCACGGCAGATACAAGCATTTTACCTGAGATACATGATCAATTCATAATACCAGCCTTAATAAGTACAGTTCAGGTTATATTTTCCTTTATATACACAAGAAGAAAACCCATACTTTAAAAAATGAAAATGTTGTCAAAGGGATGGAGAATCCACTATCAGATGAACAAGATTTGAAAATGAAAATTCAAAGGTTGACTTCCATGAACAAATCAACTATCACATGTTCAAGCACTAGAAACTGTTGTAAGGAATAAGGGAATGGGGAAAAATACTGGAAATTACTATTTGAACCGGTTTAGCAAAAAGCTCAGAGTATCTACCATATAGTGTGAGGATAGCATTTTCTATATATGAAAGCAAAATCCTATGACAGTCTATTCAAATTGAGACTGACCATGTTTTGGTCATTGTTTCTTTGCCGCATGCCAGCTTCGACATTCAGGTGGTTCATCTCCAGATTAAACTTCATGTTAACTAAAGTTGATAGGTCACCATCACTTAATATCACCTGTTCATAGACGATAATTACAATTGCTTTTTTATTAAATTTAATTACAATAATATCATCTAATATTACCCGTGTAATAATTAGTTGACCATACCTTAGAAGCTTTCACATGAGCTAGACATAATCCAATTAAGCCAACTCCTGAACCAACCTACTTAAAATTTTAAAAATAGTGCATCAAGGTAAAATAAGAACTAAAAGCTAATTTTAATGCAACATGGAAATGACAAAAATCTATAAACAGAACACAAATTTCAAACTTTGTAAAGGGAAAATTATATCTCAGCCTCTCCCATAAGTGATGATTATCACAAAATTGTTGCATGCCAAGCTATTCATGATTGGATAATACTAACATTTCTAGTGGATTAAAAAAATTCTTAAATATGTTACTAACCTCGAAGCATGTTTTATTAGAAAATAATTCTGGATGAGAAAGTATGAACTCAGACAAAAACAGACCCGGTTTCCATATTGAGCAACTGCACAACCAAACCAATACCAACTTTAAACTTTAATGCATGTTCCACAAACATATGCATGTTCAGGGAAGAATTATTCGAAGCTGTACGTAGATAGATCCAACTAATGCCCAAAATAATGGTGTTGCTGAATTCAACACATGTTGCATTATCAAAGAGCAAGAGTACTGATTATTATTTCGAAGAACTTTGCATTGACAAACAACACATAAAAACCTTGAAATGTTGCATTCTATTTGCAACAGTTTCTTATGATATGAAATATGAGCATACCCCGTACCACCTTCAAGCATGTTCCGAGAACACTGCAATGGAAAGACCAGTACCCTAGAGTGTGGACAACTTTGCAGTTCAGAACAACCTAGGCATAACAGTTTACCAGCCAAAGTAAGGTGGATGAAACAACATTATAAGAAGAAATGCAGAAACATCACTATAATCACTATTTACCATCAGGAAAAAGAAACGAAATTATTTTGCTGACTCTGGCATCTCCCTTCTCTAAACTATCATCCTATAAAAAAGGAAAAAGTAAAATCCTGAAAAAACCTCCCTAAGAGCTAAAAAAGGAAGCTTGGAGAAAATTGTTTATCAAAGAAAACCTTGCATGATGTCATATAGAGAGCATAGAGTTCGTATAAGCTGTCCAAGACATAGCCATGGTCGAACTCAATTTGAGCGATGAGTTTCTTGAGGAAATTCTTCAGGTAAGGAACATGAAAATCACCCTGTATTTAGTATTAAAATACGATCAATGCAACTATAAGGCAATTTAAAGAAAATAAAAAGAGAAAACAAAAATTACAGGAGAGGAGAGGCAATGGTGCCAGATGAATTGTTGAACTTGCTCTGTGATTGAGCCTCCACCACACTCCCTACGTACCGAATTCAGTCACTACTTTTCGAAGTCTTGCGAAATAAAAAGACGAAGGAGCAATGAAAGAGAAACCTGGCATGGGAGATAAGGCATTCGGAAGGTTCCATGGCGAGAATTGCAGAAAGCAGTCGCTGGCTACATGGGAGAGAGGGATCCAACTCTTGCTCCATCGCCACCTCCACACTGCAACAACCTCCCCCGCCATTCAAAAAATGGGCGTTTTTCTGCCAACACGGGCTTTCAATGTTACTTCAAAAAATTGGGCTCCTGTCCCGACTAACAACATTACGGGCCTCACACGTCTTACTAGACTCTCCCTTCGGTTTTTTCTTTCCACACTCCCTCAACTTTTAAAATGACCTTTTTATATTTCGGGAAAGTAACTTTTCTTCTGGAATGGAACAAGCATTTTTAAATGTTCAGAACATGATTTCTAAAATAGAATTTTTAGGAACAAGCTTTTCAGAATATATGAATTGTATTTTAGAACCAGCTTTCTGAAATAAAATTTCCAAAACAAGCTTTCAAGAACATATATTTTAGGTTTAATGTCTCCCTAGGTCCCTATTTTTGTTCAGAATTTGAAATAGGTCCTTTTATTTTTTGGCGTCTGAATTAGGTCCTTATTTTTGTTAATTTGATGCAAATAAATCATTTCCGTCAATTTCATCAAACGGCGTTAATGAATGTGTGACGTGGCCTTACACGTGTAAATACTGTCCTCAGGCCACGTCACACATTCATTAACGCCGTTTGATGAAATTGACGGAAATGATTTATTTGCATCAAATTAAAAAAAATAAGGACCCAATTGAGACGCCAAAAAATAAAGGAACCTATTTCAAATTCTGAACAAAAATAGGGACATATTGAAACATTAAACCTATATTTTAGAACAAGCTTTCTAAAACATTTTCAAAACAACCTTTCCGAAGCATAAATGTTAGCTTCCAAAATAACTTTTGAGAACAAACTCTCTCTCTCTTCTTCTTCCTCTCAAAGAGGGTCGCGTCATCACTATACTGCCTTATTATGAAGCATTAACCATGTATAAAATTGAAATTAAAAAAAAAAAAAGAGTAGAACATATCAAATGTGATAACCCCAAAAGGCCCTCTTTGATAGTATACATAAAATACAAATGAACCATGAAGCTTGAATGTGTCATATACCAATCCTTGAACATCACAGACCATTAATAAGAGCTTGACTGACATTTAGAATTACAATGAGCTATTGCTTTGAAGATACGAGCACATAAAGAATCAAATAATGATAGCAATAAATATAACGGGATGTCTAGAACTTGAGCTTAAGTAGGAAGGGCATTTTGTCTGAGAAAGGAGGATCGGAGTACTTTCCGGTGAGAATTTGTGATGCTACATATTGATTAGCAGTCTCAGTGTAATGAATCCCATCCCAGCTTATGTACTCACTAGAATCATTGCAAGCTTGTGCTGTGATTGTGGTTCCGTTGAAGGTCTTTGTTTCCCCACAGGAAACTCGACTGTCATAGTTGAGGGGTGGACCTCCGAATCCACAACAAGCCATAATAGGTTGTTCAAACCCTGCAAAGATGCAATCATAAAAATTAACTGCTCTTCCTCCCCACAAATTATTATGATAAATCACAGAATAGAATGTGACACTGGTATTATGACTGATAAAGGGTCCTTAATGAGCCAATAAATTGAACAGGCTTATAGCCTTTTCTAACTACTTTGAAGTATATTTCATGTAATCACTGGTTTGATCCATGGGGAAAAAGGGTAAGTACTAACAAAAGAGAGCAACAAACCAACAAAATAAATTTCCTGGAATAGTTATATAATGTTTACATTGTCAGCAAAAGTGACAAGTGATGACAAAGCCATATGAGAAATTTTAGCTACACATTTTAAAATCTAAAATTTTGAGCCTAATACTCTTGGAAACGGTAAATATCCATAGTCAAAATTGTAGAACTGAAACGTGGAAAGTAAATAAAAATTACTCGGAGATGCTGACCGTATCTGGAAAAGTTTGAAATCAGATTTGATTTTATAGAGAAGATATCCACGTATGTGACATTCGAGTCTGGATATTGGCCCTGCAATTTAGTACAGAGAGCGTGTAGCTGTAGGTTAAAGATTTTAGCAGCTTGGTTGTGTGAACCAACACATCCCAGTTCGTCAAGTTTTGATGCATCAGTTCCAAATTTGGCGATGTTCTGAGGCAAGCATCCAAGAGGCCCTGTATTATGTATCCAGAAATATCTAGCCCCCTGGTCATAGAGATTCTAGTGGACAATTAAAGAGTTAGAACTCGTTCGTATTAATCTCAGTAAAACTGTGTATATAACCTATGGATGCATAAATTCAAGAATGTTTTGGAATAAAATTTTCCCAAACATTAAATGAAAATAGAAGCATACTATTTGACACCAACCTTTATTCCCTTTTCAAGTTCTAAAAGAATTGTCGGAATTGAGGCAAGTATTTGGTCCAAAGTTTTTGAATAAAATGCTCCAGCAAGATCATTCTGGCCAATGTCAAACATGTACAATCCCTTCTCGAAAATATTCTCATCTGGGACGTACTTATCAAATTTCCTGCCTGAAACATTGTGATGTTTTTTTTAACACGAATGAATGAGTTATGAAACTGACAGCAAACCAGTTGTGCCGCCGAAGTAGTATAGCAAAAGTCAATTTTGAAAACATTACATAAATTTAGCAGAGATAAAACATGGAATTTAATTTCAATAATTTGTATAAGTAAGATTCTAATCAAAGATCAACATAGAAGAAATTCTAATTCTAATGGGAAACTACCACTAAAAGTATTAAGAATCTTGTGCTTTGGCAGATACCTTTGGCAATCAATTCAAGGGCCCTAGCTTTGAATCGGAGGAACTGAGACACCTGAACCCCAAAGGAAAAGGGGCAGAGGGAAGATGAAGTGGCTGGGAGGATAGTTGCAGCTGCTGCAGCAAAGTTGCATCCTTTCCTAAAATTTGGCAAACCCAAAGAATCCAGGTAGGCATTTAGGAATGGCAAGTCCATAGCATCCACTGCAATAAAAAACCAACAACACATGGAACAGTAAGTGAAAGAGTTGTTTATAGGGCAGAGGGAGACCTAAACTTCTACTTGGGATCATGATGTGAAGGAAGATAACAGATGATGAGGGCATTGCAAAAATGAGGTTATGGAGATTTATTACTAAGGAAATCGATGATGAGACGGCCATCAGAGTATCTCCCCGATGGTATTTGGAAGTAAGTTTGTCCATTTGGAGGGTAAAGGCTCTCAAAACCACCGGCAACAAGAGCACCAGTATCAGAATTTGAATCACCAAAGTTGAAAACTGCTGGAAAATCCAACTGGAAGGATATGGCACAAGGTATGCAGATGGCAATGAGGGAAAGAATCTGAAGGGTACAAGTGTTGGTTGCCATAGCTATTGACTACTATTGTAAGGAGAGGTTTTTATCCCTCCCAGCTTTGCTTCAGTTTCAAACTTCTGCTATCAGTTAGTTTTCCATCTGATATTTGTTTGGTTGGTTGGTGCGTATACCTTCTATTGGAAGTAAGTCATTCTTTTGAATCAATAGCAATATAATCAATCAATGTACTAAATTTCAGTGGGTGATAAGGATAAAAATTTATTTAAAGACATTAATTTTTATGTACTCAACCGATTAAAAATTTAAATTTTTTTATCCTTAGTACTGAATTGCATTATTCGGACTGAGAACGCTTGTGTTAACCAACATTAATAACTAAAATTTGATATTTGGATAACAATATTATTTATTAGGTTTAATGTCTCGGTAGGTCCCTATTTTCGGCGTGAATCTCAAATAGGTCCCTTTTCTTTTCGGCGTCTCAATTGGGTCTCCATTTTTGTAAAATTGTAACAATTAGGGGTCTGCCGTCAAATTGGACAAACGGCCGTTTAATTGTTGCTTACGTGGCATGAACAGTGTTTTCAGTAATGACACGTGGCATGATTCCCATCTGACACGTAAGCAACAATTAAACGGCCGTTTGTCCAATTTGACGGCAGACCCCTAATTGTTACAATTTTACAAAAATGGGGACCCAATTGAGACGCCGAAAAGAAAAGGGACCTATTTGAGATTCACGCCGAAAATAGGGACCTACCGAGACATTAAACCTATTTATTATAATTAAAATCAAAATCAAATTCCTGTCTTAGCATTTTGATTTTCATCAATAATTAATATAAAAACTTTATAATTTTCTCATAAACTTAAATCTAAATAAATAAAATAAAATATGTTGATCTTTTTTTATTATATTCACACACTTTTTAACAGAAACAAATTCAGCTTGTTGCACATGTAACTTTGTATTGATATATTATTAAAAAATGATATTTCATATTAAAAAATTCAGCCTGTTGCACATGATAAATTATTTCAATGTAAACTAAATATACTAAACCAAAACAAAAAATTAGTAAAGACGAAAATCAGATCGTTTCCGTAATATTGACAGCCAACCAATAGGAGAATTGGCAGGAAGCTGAAGAAAAAAGCAAAAGGTTAAGATGAATCAATCTCTTGATGCTACGTATTGGGAGGCTAGTTAGTTCGGGGAAAACAAAGAAGCCGGTAACTATTTATCGTGTAGCACCTGAGCTTAATTCTTTTGGCGTATAATGTTATAGTATTTTTTTTTCATATTAATTTATGTTTATATTCATGCTTGAAAGCTTTCTGAGTAATGGTTATTGCAACAATTATAAATAATATAACATTAGGGTATAAATAAAAATTACTTAGGAAGTCCACCATGAGACGGCCATCGCAGAACCTCCCGGATGGAATTTTGAAGTAATCCTGTCCATTAGGTGGCGCAACCTGAAAGCCCAACCCTGCAGCCAAGTCTCCTGTGTCCGAGTTTGAATCACCGAAGTTGAAAACTGCTGGGTATTTGAACTCCGCCGAATTTGACATAGCTAAACACATGGAAACCAAGACAAAATGAAAAAATACATTCTTGGAAGCCATTGCACGTTTTCACCTGTCTCCAACGGAACCAACTACCAACTTGATAAGTTGATACCAATTATAGCGCTGTATACACTGCCATCATAGAAAATGATTCCGTGCCTTTTATATATGCACGTCCCATTGGTTGCTTCAAAGAGCTAACGTGAAGTCTTATCTAATAAACAATAAGACCCTTGCTTTAGATGGTGGATAAGTAAATGAAAGCCAAAAGGAAAATGTTCCTTATGTTAAAATTACCATGCTATCCTTATGTTACCACCGTCAACCGCTATTATATTAAGTGATTAGCGCAATCCAGTGAGTGCAATGCAGGTCCTAAGTCGTTCCCTTAAGAGACCTAAACTCATTGGAACTTGGCCACGAAAAATAATTGCCCCAGGGAGGGAAAGAGAACGCTGGGAAAACGATAGAAATGGTAACGGAAACTTGGGAAAGCATTAATACAAAAGCAAGGAGATGATTTTTTCCTTGCGAGGGATTGCACGCTTGTGGCTTGACTTGCATTTCCACGGGATTGTATTGCTTCACCTCGTAATCATCGACTACCCACGGAGAACCTTTACATTTTACACTTCTCAGTAAACATTCCTAAGCAAGATTTCTGACGGTCGATAATCTGATATTGATAAGGGATAATGTCAGCTGTTCCCCTTCTGTTGAAATAATTCTGCATTATAAGGAAGATTACAGTGCCTGGATCCAACACAGTCAAAATAACTGCAACCAATGACGTGACGCAACATAGAACCTTACATATACATTCATCTATCCAAGGGCTCATGCTGCACGTTATTGATTGAACTGCTGTGTCTTATTGTTGGAAATCCTCTCTATTGAAATTTAACATGATATTGAACCCAGCTCGTTCATCCATAATTTTTTTTAATGATTCATCCATAATTCTTTAACACTAGTATATAGTAGTATCCCGTTCATCCAGTGCCTCCTACCTTAAGCTGCACAGCTATTGTGTTGCTTACGACAGTGTAAAAATCAAGACGAATTGAAGCAGTTCAAATGGTCCATACTTTTATTGGCTACTTGTGAATTTATGGATCTACTGTGCTAAAATGGTTGAATTCATAAAGAGATGTGTCAGGAAACAGCCATCAATGGCAAATTATTATTCATATAAAACAATTTTCGGGTTAAACATAGGCTCACTAACAATGCTATCGATTGTGATACAATCCATGAATTGGCCATCTCATCATATATTATGCTATTAGCCAGCCCCCAAAATGTCCAACAGTAAGTGAATCAGCATGAGGCATCTTTATTATTTCTATGCATTATTTTGACAGTATTTAAAGGCCCCGCTGAGGCAAGGCATCATATAAGAATGAGTAGTCACTGCCAGCGTCTTGAAGAAGTGTAACCCGACCAACGAAGAAAGAAAGTCAGGATACCTGAAATCATATTCTGAAAAATGGAACTATTCTCTGCTCCCTTGTAGAATAGAGAATCCGTGGAGGCATCAACTTTGGCCCTGAGAATGCCATTCTCCCTTTTAAGCTGTGAAATTATATGTTCGACAATAAATATTTTGTGTTATTCTTCATACAGCATTTTTCAGAAGCTTTTAACTTTACTACATGATAAACAGGTTTTAACGTACGGTTGGTTGCAGAGTTTCGAAGAAAAAGGGAAAGATGGTAAATTTTTATTTTTAGAGTAAATGTTATAAAGTGTTTATAAATTTAGGAAAAGACTAAGAAACAAGTTTATTACTCTGTCACTTTCTCCCGTTTTCGCATTTTAACCAAGCCTAGTATCTGGTAAACAAAAAGTGCCCAAAAGGTTGGAAGTGACCGAAACAGTATCTGTTGTAAGAAAAAGATTATCGCACATTTTTGTCTTACCTCGTCAACAGTAGCTGTAAGCTTTTCCATGGCTGCTTGCAGCAAGGATATCATCTGTAAAGTGAGGTCATCTATGTCTGACTCCTCTTCAACAGATGAAAGGTCAAAGAGAATGCCCTCTTGTATGAACAATTCCTCTAGGAACTTCACATCTTCAACATTAAATTTCTCCCTCAACTGTATTAACATAAATTTTATTACGAATTCTAATTAGAAAGGGATTTTACTACAATATTCCCACCTTGTTCAAAACTCTGGCGCTTGACTCGTCATCAGACGGAGAAGCAGCACTAGAACTTGTATCACTTTTTTCTTCACTGTAATTCATGCGAGGCGACGCCTTTATATGTTTCGCCCTGCAATTAGCATTTTAAAATAGAAATTTAATTGGGTGAATATTTATTTTAACTCTTTTCTTCATTAAAGATGGTCATGATTATGTGTAAAGCTTGTCGAAAAAAAGTTCGTGAAAATTAAACAAGATTGGATTTATTTGAATTTTTATTATGGGAAAATTTATCTTCTACCTTAACCAAATTATTTCAACAAAATTCTTATTAGCTTAGGTATAACTCTCATAATGGGTTGGTCCGACGGACTAGTCCAAAAGTTTCTAACTAAACATTAAAGATTTCGTTTTGCACCCCTATAATTTCTTTCGGCATCCCATAAAGATGCAAAACTTTTAGTTTACGGTTGAGTAAATGACTTTTGTGTAATCTATAAGTTTTTTAAACAAGGAAGGATCATAACGGTGGAGACTAAGAGCACTTTTGACTTTTACACCCCCTCAATGAGGCATAGGAAGAAACAGGAAGAAATAGATCTTAACATCATATTAGACTCAAGAAATATAACCTAAATATATTCGAGAGTTGCTCCCTCCACCACCACCAACCGCTACCTGCACCTCCCCATACCTTATTTGCCCTTCTATAAAACGGATGTCAACATCCGTTTCACCTTCAACGGATGTTGACATCCGTAACATCCATTTACACATTTCATATTTTAGTTTATTATTTTTATTTAAAAGAAAAAAACTTCAACGGATGTGGCCACATCCGTTAACGGATGTGCCACATCCGTTTAATAGATTTTTAAAAAGTTTTTAATTTATTATTTAAATAATAATATATAAATTAAAATAATTATTATTATTTTATTAAATAAAATAAAATTAATTTATAAATAATTAAATAATAATTTTTAAAAAATTAAATAATATTTATATATTAATTTAAAATATAAAAAATTAAAAAACTAAAAATTAAAAAACAAAAAAAGGAAACGGATGTCGCCACATCCGTTAACGGATGTGGCGACGTCCGTTTTAATATATTTATAACAAATTTTTTAATTATTATTTAAATAATAATACATAAATTAAAATTAATAATAATTATTTTATTAAATAAAATAAAATTAATTTATAAATAATTAAGTAATAATCTTAAAATAATTAAATAATATTTATATATTAATTTAAAACAAAAAAAATAAAAAAACTAAAAACTAAAAAACAAAAAAAAGCAACGGATGTCGCCACATCCGTTAACGGATGTAGCATGTCCGTGGAAGAATTTTTTCTTCAACGGATGTTGACATCCGTTGAAGAAAAGGGGTGGGGTGTGGGATATTTTAAAATATAAAGGATAGTATTGGCATTTTAAAAAAATGTGGTGGTGCAGGAAGTAAAGTGGGGTGGTGTAGGGAGTAAAACCCAATATATTCAGATTTTTTGGCCCAACTCAAACAAACTAATGGTCGACCCACGTGCTTGTAAGTCGACTCAAGTAGTAGGTATAATATTTTTGGGCAAATTCTTACTACACCTCCATATTTTTCATCCTACACATCCATGCATATTAAAATTTTTGCTTTTCCATTTTCAAACTGTACAGACTGAAAATTAAAAATGACTTGTGATTTATACAAAATTAAAAATGACTTCTGATTTATACAAATTGGAAGTCAAAATTAATTTCTGAATAGATTTTTTGGAGTTCGATTGAGTGTATTTCAAAGTTTTTTTTTATAATGAATTTGTTTTTATCATGTTTCAAAAATTTAATTTAATGTCTTATTTGATATTTTATGTTTTGAAACTTTATTTGAGATTTAACTTGCATGTTTGAATGAATTTTTATATTGGACAATAATTAACAAAAATTGTTAGTTGGACCTAATATACATTATCTGGTTGGGTAAAAATTACAGCCCAATAAAAAAATTGAATTGCCATATTTGACAGTCATATTAGTTTGCTGATTTTGACTGTTCTAATTTAGGTCTAGATTAACAAATATTAGTTGGATTAAGTTGAATAAATTGGAAAAATAATACATTATATAAGTTTTTTTAGTCTTTGAAAAACTATGAAAAGAAAAACTCACTAACTCTATTGCTCAATATTTAATAAAAGTATTAGTTTGATTTTTATAATTATTTTTTTACTTTTAAATTAACATGTTAACATTAATTTTAATAATGCTATAAGTTACTATACCTACGATATATATTAAATACTTATATGTCATATATTTAATTCAAGAATAATAAATTATGTCATAACAACATTAGTATATTTATTAAATGTTGATATTACAAATACTAATTTTTTTTAATAAATATAACAAATATGATTCATGTAAAATTAATGTACCTGATTCAACATTCACCGTCTTTACCAATAATATAAATATGTTGTTTACGTGTACTATTGTGATACAAAAGAAATTTCGCATTCCCTTTTTGGAATAAAATTAAAAACCATGTTATCACCTGTATTTCATTATTTAATGTATTAAATATAGAATATAAAATAGACACATTTGTAAAATAATTTTGTAGCCATTTAATAAAAATAAAATCACCACATATATTATTTTTCCTAATAACTAAATGACATAAATAAAATGTTTCCGCTATTTTAATCTAAGAACGTTTATAATATAAACGTCTTAAAAAGATTGTTATGAGTTCTTATTTTATTTAATTGAGTTTTGTTATATTACATTGTTTTTTAATAAAGTTTACAATTAAAATAGTGAGACTTTAAAATAATACACATTTGTACAAATCATTTTACTTCAGTTTTTTTTTTAAATCAGTTCTCTCAATATATGAAATTATTCTCTAATATTGAAATATAGAATCTTATATAAAAGCTCACCATAGCACATGAGCAAGTAATTTCTTTCAAGAAAATAAAGTTAAAATTAGAACTTTTGTTAAGGAAGCTCTGACATCATTTTAAACATAGCAGATGAAAATAAAGAAAGAAAAGAAAAGAAAATGGCAGTGCCTCAAGATTTCAGGGATGACATACCTTGCACCGAAACGAAGAGTGGACAGACTCTCGGATGCATTAAAAGCGCTGGGTGAGCAACAACAAAGCAATGCAGTTCTAGCATTTCCTCCCTGCGAATAGGAGATACAATGTTTGGGAAACTGATTTCGTGAAAAATGGGTATGTTTTGATAGATTATAAAAAAGGGAGGGTGGACTAACAAGAGCATCCTGAAGAATTCGAGGGAGCTTGGAATCACGATACGGGATATGGCTTGTTTTTCCTTGCAGACCACATGTAAGAGAATTTATTACATTTCCCAGAGAAGACAAGGATTTGTTTATGGTTTTGGCTTCGTCTAGAACTCTTCCCTCTGCTCCTGTTTTCTCCACTTTCTCTGACCCAGCCAAGTCCACTAGAATTAGTTTTCCGAAACTCGTCATGTTCAAAGTCTCAGTGTTTAAGAATGATTCATAAGCAGATCACATATTTATGGAAGAAGTATGACCTTTTATCTCTGGAAAATTCTTGCTGAATTGTGAATATATAAATGCAGTGACTTCTGCTGCTGGCCATGTTCATTTCTACATGTTTTGTTTAGGATGTTTGCAGAACGCAAGTAACCTTCCTAATTCCTATCACTACTTTTCCTCCCTCAAGAAAACAGGGAATTTACCCTAATGTGTTATGCCTTTTTTATCAACTAAGAAAGAAAATAACATTAAACAGGCACAAGAAGTACCAAAATACATCGGCCACTACCATGGGTATGGCCATTGTTTTTCCTCCCACATGTACTATGTAGTTTAACTATATATAAAAAATAAAAAGGTATAATAAAAAACTGAACGGTGAGCTAAGAGTCAAAGCAGGATACGGGTCTCACCAACTGTCCGGTTAGCTATCCCCTTCTACAAATTTGAGGTCACAATTAGAAGCCGAAATAATTGTAAAATCATTCAGAAAATGTTGTTCAAGTTGTTTATTCTTACAGACAGGTTTTGCAATGCTTCAACAGGGTCCAGCACAGTAATCTGAATGAAAAACTCAAAAGGTCCCGTTAGTCCTTTATGGCAATAATTGAATAAGAATCACCAATTATTTTCTTTTTTGTTTGTTTTTGGATTAGTGTTTAGACAAATATTATGTAGCATACATAACTACTGAATGATTCCGCTCCACTCTAATTTTTGAATCAGCTCATGGAGAGAGCTTCGCCTAATACTCAATCAAAAGAAATGAGACCTTGCTTCACACTAAAATGTCAAGTCGATTTAACTTTACTTTCTTGAAGCTTAACGGGTGAGTTTGAAATCACATTTCTAATAGGATATAAATATGTGAAAATTTTATTTTACAAATTAAATTTAATTTAATTTGAAGTTGATTTCTTAATAATATTAGAATTTATATTAATAAGGTTTATTGGATCTATTAAACTATTTATAAATACAAAATTTCATACTAAGATGTTAGTCCTTGATGGAAAAAATATGTTAGAAATCTTACATATTTATTACATATAACATATAAGAAAACTAAATTATAACGTAAAAATAAGTGTAAATTTTATCTTATAAATTAACTTTTTGAATGTAGTCGTTAATATTATGTGCCGAGAGATTAAGTACGTAAACTCACGTTTAATCTCTTAATGTTTTGGAAAATAAAATCAATACTGGCATGATGAGCGAAAAGATAAAGTCCACGAGCTAAGAAAATCCTAACCAAATAATCCAATACCCATGCCTCAAAATTTAAATTTTACATGTTAATCATATACATAAGAGCACGTATATAATTGTGAACAGCGAAGTAGTTTCAGATAGAAAGAGTAATCAGAATGGAACAAGATATAAAGTTCCCAAAAAACAGCTCACCTCTGTAACACCGGGCAATAATATTCCTCGCGATTTACTCTCCTTAATTTGTATATTAACTTTTGATAAATCAAATAGGTCCCTACATAAGAGGATAGAGTTATTCTGATGACTATTGAAGAATCCAAATTCACATCAAAACTAGCTTTTCCCAAAGTTAAGAAAATTTCCTACCAGAAAAGCATATAATACGCTCTAAGTACAATGGGAGGGGGGAGGGAATACTTTTTTTTTTCTATTCATACCTCACTTTTTCCATGTAGATTTCAACCTGAACGAATCAGATACAAAATCAGAGACATAATTTACTATAACCAGATGATTTTGTAAGACTGATGTGGTTAAATGAGTAAGTGTCTCAGTACCATTGACAACTTAATCGAATATGTTTTCTTTTCATCAGAAGAATTTAAGGAATCAAAAAGTCCCTCTACAACTCTTGAAAGAAGTCCCTTCTTCTGTTCACCACATTCAAGTATACCAGGTCCCTGCTTCAGAGAAGAAGTCATTTATATTCCTGTATTTGATGTTTTGTAAGATCGTTTTAAGATACTTTTTAGGTGACAATTTTCCACCTCCATACTATATGTCTTCCCAGCTCCAGTCTGCAATTGATTGTAGGAAAACTAAAGCTTTAAGCAATTGGGGTCGAAAGAAAAATGGATTCGTGAATACAGTTGATAAGTTCTGCTGAAAATAAAATTATATTTATCAAGATATATATATATAATTATATATATATATATATATAAAATAATTACGGTAGTCCCTCGTAATGGAAAACATGTGTAGCATATTTTCTTAAGCCAATAGGCAGTAGAGAAACATATGTGGCATATAATAACAAGACTATATTTACTAACAGGTATGTTTAACAACATTGTAGATTTTGCAAATTGTCGTCGCTAAATATTTAAAAGGGAACTGTCTAGTTTTAGCATCAGGTGCCCTTTCCTTACTTCCAGAGTAGCTAGATTTGAATTCAACACATACACCGTGAAGTAACAGTTCAAATACTTCATGCCTCATCTACACATTTTTCAGTTCTTATTTTCCCCCTTCAAACATAACCAAAATATACTCCAAAAGGGTATTTCTGAGCTAATGCAAGGGATCATATTCAGCGAAGCAAGGGTATTTCTGAGCTAATGCAAGGGATCATATTCAGCGAAGCTCGTACGATGCAATATATTGTAATTTTTCACAACTCTTGATACACGTGTAGATGACATGTTTGAGGAGAAAAACCACATACGATCTCGTATTGTTGATTTTAAAGTTTAACAAAAAGAAGCAAAAAGCTTTTGGCAAACTGGAGACGCGTAATATCTTACCTGGCCGTAAGTGATAATTGTCCCATTGTATCCATCAACAACATATATTTGGTTTACAGGAATACATACAAAACGAAAGCCTGGTGTCAATAAAAAAACTAAAAAGCAAACTATAATTAAGGGAAGTGTCATTTTCCCGAATTTGATTCTTATGAAACATTCCAAATTTTTAAAATTTGAATGTACGACGTGCAGACGTACACTAGCATTACACGAACTTTAAGGATAATTTTTTTCATATAACCGAAGTTGATAAGCACTATTTGGCCGTGATGAAGCTGTCCTTTCATAAGGAAGCAGAGTCATTCAAATTAAGGAAGATTTCAATCTGCATTGCGTTGACTGATTGACATAAATTTGTAATGAGGATTATGTAGCTGTACCTCTAACCATGGGAAGAGCTAGGAACTGATAGACATCAGCTTGCTCAGACTGTTCGTAGAACACTCTATCAAAGCTAAACACGGATTCTTCATCCTTTTCGTCCTGAAAAAAATTAATTCAAAATTATTTTACTATTTACCGTAATGTGTGATTCACTGAGTTTAATAGAGCAAAAGTGAAAACTAATAGACCCTTAATCTGACGTAAAAAAAACCTTGAAAATGAAAGTTTCGGTATCTCTAGATCGAATGCAAACAGAGTTACTGTCATTTTGCTTCTCTTTTGAGTTCAAAGGCCTAAAGCGTGCGCATACTGTAATATTTGACATGATGCTTTACAGAAAACAGTACTTCGCTGCAGTCGTTGATTTAAACCTGTCAATGGAAGAGATATTAATGCATAAAATAATAAACCAGAGGAATATTTAGAAGCTAGAGAAATTTTAAAACAGATCTGCGTTGTTTTCCAGATAACATCGATCTACAGTCAGGTTTCTCAGTGAGTTAAGGAAAGAAGGAAAACGCTACGTGAATCTCTGCTCCATGAATCGGTCATTGCATCAGGCATTATTCCCTATTTTCGATTCATATTAATTGCATTAGAAGAGATGAATGACCGTAGTGGAATTTCTCGAAGCTTCCTTGTTCCCTAAAATCCTTTTTCAGATGCAGAAATAAATTTGAAAACACATTGAGTCATTAACAGATAAACCTGTTTGGAATGCAACGTCAATGATGATCTCACAATGTTAGACTGATTAGTCATTCTCTTATTCATGAACAATGTAGTAAGAAAAACAATTCGAAAGAATAAAGAACAGTATTCGTCAAAGGGAAAGAGAGAGAACCACCTTTCCCACGGCGATGAACGGAGAGCTTACCAGTAACGAAACGAATTTCGCGTGGTCTTTGATGGCGGGAACAAAGATAATAAGCCAATATCTTCCTTTATACGGGCCTACATCTGGGTCAAGTTTATAATTCAGCTTTTACTCCTTTCACCCCCTAATTAATACCTCAACCCCCATAACTATAATGATAATGACAATGTTTTAATTAGTTTTTTGTTATTAACATGAGATACAGATAATAATCATGGCGTAGAGGAAGCAAAATCTTATAATTTTTATTAGAAACCCATTTATTAAGACTACAACACATTTGTTGTGGAATTATGACTTTACTTGCTTGAATTTGAAAATCATTTTCTTATTCTATGAATTTTATATTCAAAATTATAAAAAAAAGTTGTGCTTGGATATCATTAAAAAATTATTAAAAGGTTAAAAGATATTTAACTAATATGTATTTTAAAAAAATTATTAAACATTAAGTGTTTTAAAAAATGTATTAAACATTAAGTGTTTTAACTAATTACTCATGTGTCGTTAAAAATTAGATGTCGTCGTAAAAATATCAAATTGAAAAAAAAATTGTGAAAATTATGATTATATTGAATATTCAAAAAAGTTAAATTCTACATTAAACAAAGTAAATTAAAATAAAGATAAAAAATGATATTAAGCGTTAAGTAATACATGAATAATAGAAGATTATAATTTAAAATTTATGTTATTTGATGAATTTGATAATAATAACAATAACGTGAGAAGCAACGTGTTGTTGCCTTAAAGCTTCGCATTAAGTGGCGGAAGTTCATAAAACATTGATCCCTTGAAAGAAAAGTAAAGAATCTGAAAGTGGTTCCGTTACTTGGAAGGAAAAACTTGAACATATTCTAAGCACACAGGGACATTACTCTTGCTATCTCTTCAACATCTCTACAGAATTTCTTTGCAGATGGAGCCAGGAGAACTTCATTCAAGCATTTGCCACAAGCTCTATCTTTTCGTAATGAGAACTTTGGCTTCGCAAGCAATGAAGACAGTGACTTTGGGGAGTTCTTCGCATCATGGTTCAAGCGATGAAAAGGAGCAAACCATCGCAAAAGTCTGAATCTCTGCCATCGATTCTGAAACTTGGTTCTCGTTTCAATCAGAAACCAAACTCAATATGTTAATTTCGTTTCTAATGTTGTTAGAATCAGCAGGGTGAGTGAGAGGACTCTTTTTTTCATCTCACATCTTTGTATAAATTTGTCTGTTATTGTCATTTATTTTTATTTCTTTTTTAATCTATTACGTTGAAGATCATAACTAGACTATGTAGCAGTGTTAAAGATGAATTTATAAATAATAGTATTTTTCACTTTCTAAGGTTTTAAATTAGTTGATTTTTATTACTAGATTAGTTGATTGAGTTTCTTTAGACTGTTATTAGGTTTTTATTTAATTTATCATTTTTAAATATTTAGTCTCGCGTAAATATTTAATATACATGTCTCAACTTTAATGGGAGGATTACGAATTAAAAGTTCCACGTTAATTAAAAAAAAGAATAATTTATAATATTTATATGTAATGAAAGTAATCTTAATATTACTATTTTATAAAATTAAATAAACTTTTTAGATTGTATTCATATGTACAATAGGCAAAGATTTAGTTTTCTCATTAGTTATTTTGTCACACGAGTTAAAGAGAAGGTAAAAATAATTGTATAAGATGGTTAGATTTTCTAAAGAATCATCTCATGATACTTTGATATTAATTATCTTAAAATTAGTTATCCCGTGTGTATGCATTTATTAAACTCTTATTTTATAGCAGAATTTAAACCATCTATTTATAGCTGAATATTTGTTAAACTCTCAAAATATGAAAAAATGATCACATTGAAAATTTTAATTAATTGATAATGTGAAATATTTTATTATAAACAATCCCTTTGTATAAGTTACTCACAATGAGTAAGACTAAAATAAGCCGGTCAATTTGACTAATTTTTTTAAGTAAGCTAAAAATTTTGTATTCGACTTTATTATTATGAATTAATGAGTTAGTGGATGGATTCATTTACAAATATTTTATTTTTTTAATTTATTTTGTATTAGTATACTAAAAATGGATTGATTTGATAATTGTTTTTATAATAATAGAATTGAAGTGTTTACTTAAACTAAACATTTAAATTATTTAAAATATTAGTGAACAATATTCTTATATATTATTGATAGTTACGAGTTGACTCACCTTCCATTCAGCTCAAACTTATTTAATTCTTGAATTAAGTGAATTAAGTTTAATTTAATCTCATTTAAAAAAACTAAATTTTTTTCATATCAATTTAACTCAATAAGTTGGGCTGAGTGAGGGATTGAAATTTATTTACACATTTCTAACCATAACAACCCTTATTTACTTATGAAGTCAAAATCATCTAACAAATATTTTCATTCATTAAAACATCTAACAATATATAGGTAAAAAAAAGAGTTCAATTATTGTTGATAAAAAAACAATTTAAATGAATAATGTATGTAACAAAATGAATTAATCCCTAGTAGAAAAACTAATTTGTAAATCAATGAAATAGAAGTTTAAAATTGGGTTTCATAACAAAGTTAGTTTATACTAAAAATATAGGCTTCCTAACACTATTAAGATGCACACACAAAATCCTTTATTTACCTTTGTAAAGTATGCATCTACATATTTAGATCAAGGTGACTTTTTCTTTTTTATTTATTTAACTTTTTATTTGGATAGAAAAAATTAGAATTTTTTAAATACTCAAATCCATTAAATTTAAATTGATTTTATTTCAAAACATTTTTTTATATTTTTTGCTTAGCCAAAGAAATTTAGATTTAATAAATTTTCATTTTCTTGTTTAGATAAAATAATTACATACAAATACAAAATAATTATGTAAATATTGAATAATTGATAAACATTAAAAAAATATAAAAATTGATTATCTATACTTTTAAATAATTTTTTTATTAAAATAATTATTTTATTATTTTATCAAAATTAATAGTTTCTTTAAATTTAATGGGTTTTTTTAAACTTGATTGTTTTTTAAAACTTAACCAATTTTTTATTTATAAAATTATCAATAAAATAAATAAAAATTATTTACAATGAAATTATAAAAATTATTTATATTTAATTTTATAATTATAATAAATAATAATTATTTTTTTATTTTTTTATTATCATAAAAAAAAGTGAATACACATGTTTTTGTAATTAATCTTAATTAATATTATTTTTCAATTAAAATTTATCAAGAGTTTTTAATTGGTATTTGTAGGTATAATTAATTTCTTTTTTATTAACATTTTAATAAGAGATAATTAAAGTATATAAATTTTACGGAGATGCGGGAGAAAAGAAGAAAGATAAGTGTAGGTGTAACATCATTTAAATATAGTTAAAAATATTATTAAGGAAATATCACACCATTAATAAACTATAACAATTAAAAAAAAGAAGGTATATAAATTGTCCGTACACTTATTCAAAACATAATTATAATTCAACTTTTCACATACATAACTTTAATACTAAAATTATATACACATCCACACAAGGGTTCCTTAAAAACACAACCAAAGTAAATTAACTAGAACAAAGCTACACACGTCCACAACTTCGTTGTCCTTGTTGCCTATAGTTTGTTTCATTATATTATCTTTTTTTCTCACACAATCAGGTGATCATTTTTAAAAGAGAAAAGCAAACAACACACAAATAAAACATAAAAAGGGTAAGTTAATATCATAAAAGCACGAAATCATACAATTATAATCATCATATAAAACAATTCATTTTCAAACCAAATCAAATTTAAACATATAGATAAGTTTTATACTTGATCATCCGAATATATATATATATATATATATATATATATAAATATATATTAAATAGATAATTCATATTCATCCATATTGATTTCGAGATATTATAGATTATCACCTAAATGTTTGACATGTAAAAATGTAAATATAAGAATATTCGAGTAGTTAAAAGAAACAATTTTGCCTCAAAGCTTAAAAGAAAAATTAAAAATTAGAAATATAAATTCTATGCGTCAACGATAAAGAGTTTGGTGTGTGGCCAAGTGTCATATCCAGAGATATATTATATATAACTGGGATATTAGACAAATATTTCAAAAATTTA